CCATGTTGCTAAGATAACCTCACTGTTAACAGTATCACGCTGCTAACAGGACCATGTTGCTAAGATAACCTCACTGTTAACAGTACCATGGTGCCAACTGGACCATGTTGCTAAGAGAAACCTCACTGTCATAAGAACCACTCTGCCAATAGGACCATGCTGCTATAGATTTATTTATTTTTCACTTTTGGCATCTTGTTTCTCTATTTTTATTGCATGCTTTGAGTAAATCCTAGTTTATGTTGGTTTAGTTTATGTTAGTGCTCACATTATGCGTGTAAATTATAGCCGAACAGAACCTATGAGAATCATGTTGCTGTTGTTCAGTGTATTGTTTTGCACTATTAATAACTGCATACAGTATATCTTAGATCTTTTAGCGTACTGTTTGGTGTTCGTTTAGCGTATACCTTAGTTTAAATCTTAGATCCTTATTTACTGTTTTTTTTACACTTTATATTTTTGCCATTGTTTGATGTAACTGGGACCCTGAGTACACAATTTCGTTCCACTACATGTACTAGATGTGATGCGAATTACAATAAAGAATCTCGGACTCTGACATTGAATGTTTTTAAATCTAATGATGAAGCATAACACAAGACAAAAGTTATGTTAGCTTAATGAAGAAAAAATCTAAATGGGCAAATTGACAATGTGGAGATTCCAGCAAATTTATGCACCGATTTATTTTAAGTTCATTCTCATTTTTTTCCAGTGAATGTTACAATAAGAATGAATTTAGTGAGATTACTGTTAGTGAACACTATTTTTCATCTGCAGGAGGTATGACAACATTAAAGATAAGGGATTTTGTCTCATCTAATCAAGGGTTTGTCATCAATAAAGGTTGAATTAATGAATGAAAACAGCCAAATTGCAAACATTTAAAATAGTTAAAGATAACTTGTTTTAATGTTTTTAAACACATGTTCAAACATCATGTTCGTTTACAACTCATTACATATTCTGTGCGTCACAAATGAAGCTCCAAATAACCACTCTTTCTTCTGCTTACTTGACTCCCTGGAAAATGGACATAATGTTCACGATCAAGCTGTCAATCAATGATTAAAAAAAAATAAAAAAAAAAGTCTCGCGAGATTTCAGCCTCAAGACGCAGGTCTGAGGTTACAGAGGTGATATCTCGCGTTACCTTCTCGCTTGTCTCTCATTCCGCCACGGTCCAGCAGTTGGGAAGGTGCTTCATCTCAACAGATCCGCAATAGACTACATTTTGGACAATTTAAATTTACATTTGTAACGAACTAAGTTTTTTTATATATATTTAACGTAAACCACTAAGTCCGCCGTACTTTAAAAGCAACTGTCGGTCTAAACTCGCGTTGAAATTTATTTAAAGAGAAAGCTTAAGTTGCCGTGTATAATTGAGCTCAAGCCGGTAGCGCTAACAAAGAAAATCCTTTCTCTTCATAAAATAATCCACCACCACTCTCTTTAGTTATGAGTCATGTCGTCGTTGATAATTCACACGGTCTAGAGGAGCAGGTAAGTGTTTTCATCTGAATATTTTTCTGTGTAAACCGTATAAAATGTTATTTTAAAGGCATCTTGTTTCGACGTAAAAGTCTAGTTTTGTTAGCCTGAAGCTAAGCTAACGAAGCGAGTGTTAAAATGTCGGAGCAGAAACGTCGTGATGGCGGAACTGGACGTTCTGTTCCACTCGCTCATTAAGTTTGACTGTCGCTACTTTACCGTTTTATTTCGGTTAATTGTTCACTAGGAGCTCGTTTGATATATTAATCGGGTCATACTTGAGAAAAACATGTTAAAGGTAATGGAAAATTACCGAGTAAGCTGACATTTAACACCCGGCCGGCATCTGACGCGATGAGGCCTTGTCAGCCTGAAACGTGGCGCAGAAAAAAATGTTGGCACCGCATCTTTGACGTTCGAGCTTTATTTCTTGTACGCAGTTCTAAATTTCGCAATAATCTCCGATATTGTGTTTAATAAAGATAGTTCTCGATTCGTACTTTATATATTTATTTTATTTAAAATGTTAGCCGTCTCTCATGTTTCCATCGGTTATGGAAGAGTGTGACGCCACTCCGACCTGAATACGAAAGCCTTTCCAGACTGTTACCTAATCATCGTTCAATAGTAGGAATGTAACCGGTTTGTAATCCAAAGTTGCTGAAGTTATAACTTAACATACATTTCCGAGTGCTTTGCTGAAAAGCCCACCAAAGTAAAATATAAAGATTTTAAAACGGTACTCGTACTTGGGTGCAGCTGTTGGGCACAATTTGTAGACGCATCGCAGCCTTTGTTGTAACTTGTAGGTTTCTTAGTAAACTGTTAAATGGTAACAAAAGTTTAATTTCTAAGCAACAAAGGTTGCTACACGGCTAAAATTTCCAATAGTAATCGATGAACTAAATTAAACAAAGTAAAAACCTTCCTTTTAAAATGGTTTCACTGCTCTTGTAATTTCCATCACTGCTTAAATCATAACTTTACAGTATGACACGTTTTGGTTAAAAGTTTTCCATAGTCCTTTTAAGAGCTAATCTACAAACTGTTCTGCAGGATTTGAGAGTATTTAGTTTATGCTTCAGTGTCTGAGCATAATCTTAAATGGTAATTGTTTGAATACTAATTAAAGGTGCAACCATAAATCAGCCCTGATTTCCTTAATTTTGGGAAATCGGAAATTGGCCAATACTTGTATGAGAAACAAATTTTACTGATTTTTTTAAAAAGTTTTAAAAAGTTTTAACAACAATTGTCTAAACTTAATTTATATTTCAGAGCACTACCTCATAGCCAGTTAAAACAAGTTTGTATTGTTTCTAGGATATTGTTCAAGGATATGTTTTTCAATAAAATAATGTTTGAAAGTTGAAGGCACGTTGTGACCTTTATAACACCTGACAGTGTCTCTTATAAAACAAAATCGGTATCAGCCAAATTCAGAATTGGCAGGTCAGACTTTTAGAAATCGGTGATCAGCCAGAAAACTGTAATTGGTGCACCCCTATTACTAATGTAATAAATGCAAAAGGTGTTCTCTGTTGATGTGCCGATATTCCCTGTCGCATCACTTTTTACATTTGGACTGAATTCATTTAATTTACTAAATAACAAATGTTTTAATATGCAATTTTCAAATGCAATAAAAATCTTAACTTTTTGTTTGTTTTGCAGCTTGCTGTCCTAGACTTGAACTCTGCTGACATACAAGGTGGAGGAAGTGGCAGTAAGTAAAACATCTTAATTACATATTCATGTCAAATATGATTTGAAAAGTTTTGTTTTTATTGTTAACTACTCCCGAGCACCAAAGGCCTGTCTTGCATTTTAGATACTTTTTTTTTATATCAACAAAATGCTGAAACAGCCATGACACACCTTTTGGCAGGTAGAATGTTCATAATGATAAAGAATAAGTGTCAGTGGGTTTGATTGTATTTATTCAAGTTCATGCAAGTTAACTTGTTTTGGCAAGTTTCTTTGTTTAAAGGCATTTTTAAATAGTTTATCTTCTTTCATCAACTCATGGAAAAACAATGTAATTACATATGTCAAGTTTAGTGTGTGCATTCCTAACTTTTTCTTTTTACAAACAGGGCGTTACATTCCACCTCACTTGAGGAACAAAGAGGCTTCCAAAAATGGTGAGTTTATGAATCATCTCGTCTGCCACTGTTAACCTAATTGGGGTGACTTTGGGTCTACCTTTTTATGTTGGAAGCCCATCAGAGCATGGTCAAAGCAAGCACAATTGAGAGGGGAAAAGAGCTGTAACAATGGTTTTGAGGAAAATGATTGTCCTTCATGACAAGTTAATTTTCAGATGTATTTTTGTTGCATTTTAGACCATGCAAAGCTTTTCACTTGTGCACAGAACAAAGACAAATCTGTCAAATGGATTTGTGTGTTTGTGATGCATCATCTTGCAAACGAGTGCTAGCTGTTGGCTGCTCTGATAAAGGGTGGGCTTGACATGGCTTAATTTAGACAATGTTATGTTCAAAAGGTGAATGATGTGGGTTTTTATTTATTTTCCCCAATAAAATCAGGACATGCAGGTCTTTGCTGTCAAATACATTTGCATCAAAACAAACAGCAGTGCTGGTACTGTCAGTGCACACCTGACCTTTTTCTCGTTTTACTGTTTTCTTATTTCACAGCAGGAAATGCTTTTTCCACTGGTAGACAGTGCGGTTATTCAGTGGCACCTATAAATATCTGTAAGTCCCTTCTGTCTGCTTTTGCTGAGGGCAAATTGCATTTCCAGATGCATGAAATATCCATTTTACACACCAGCAAAGCCATTGTGAGGAAGATGAATGTTGGACTAGAGAACTGTACAGGTCCTTCTCAAAAAATTAGCATATTGTGATAAAGGTCATTAT